ATTGATTTATCTTCTTTTTCCTATAGAGGCGGAATTTTGTAATAATATATTTCTATCAAAATAAGATTTATTTTTTTTGAGGTCGCCATTCATCACAAGTTTATTCGAATAACAGATGAAGAAGAAAAATAATATTTCTAAAGTATTGTGTCCGGAACTCTGGAATGACCCTCTACACTATCATTAGTGAAAATATTATTATCATGTCTATTACTATATGTATACTGCTATTGTTACTTGTACTACTATCATTATATTTATTGTCATCGTTGCTGTTGCTGTTATTGTTATTAAGATTATTGCTGCTGTTGCTACTGCTGTTGCCATCGCCGCGTCGATCGCGCGAATCTTAAAAACATAAGGCGTCATTGACGTTGTCATTGCTATTATCGTCATCGTGGCCGTCGTCACTATCGACATTAATGTCGGCGCCGCCGATATGCTATAATTAATAACAATAAGATACGACTATCGCCTACTCAATGTACAATATGTAGTATTTACCTGTTGTTACCATCAAACCGTCATCAAAGATATATAAAAATATTGTAATTGTAACGTATTGAGTTTCTCGTATCCTTTTCTCTCCCTTTCTTCTAAATTAGATGTACACTCTTTTGTATACTTTTATTCGGTTATAACGTATATAATTGAATCAACGATAAAGAAAAAAGAAAAATCACTCCGAAAATCAATTTATTAAACAAAATTAAAATGAGTAATTATAAAAAAATATGCAGCGTTATATTTAAAACTTTTGTGTTTAATTTTGTTATTAATTATTTTTGTACTTCTAAAAAACGTGGTAGATTTTGCAAAATCTATTTTTGACAGATTTAGCTATTTTGGAAGCTATATATTATTAGACACATTTTATTTTTCTGTTTCACATCTATAATATTTAACGATTGGATATACGTTTCAATAAAGTGCAAAAAGGTGTAGCAGACTTGCCGCTAAGCTATTAGGTGGACGGTCTCTATAGTTCGTTTTTTGCTAAATTATAGCTTAAATTGATAATATATGTTTAGAAAAGATTAAATTTATTAAAAGTCTCTATAATTGCTAGTAATTACTTTGATACGTACTAGTAATTATGTTTGGTAAAAACGGGCTATGAAAATTTACATAAAGAAACATAACTTAGTAATTTTATAAGATATTATAAGACAAAATTCACTAAATTAACTTATTTGAATTTGCAATTTCGTTTATTAAAATTCAACAACTTTTATTTATACATATGTAGGAAATGCGAAATAGAAATTGTTTCGTTCAAGGACTCATTAAACTGATTAAACTATCCCTCCTATGGATAGTCGGCGCGCTTCTGTCTTGAGGATTTAATACAGAGACATACCACATCTTTCGACTATACGATTTTATCAATAGTGTCAAAAAATGTATACAGTCATGTAGTTCTCAAATTGAAAATGGATGTAGTGTACGGGCGATTTCGATGGTAGGAAAGGAAGGAGACACCGGCATGGACTCTCTCAGGTTTCTTTCTGATCCTTTCTCAGGTTTCTCTCTGCTATCAGAAAGAAACCTGAGAGAGGACGTGACGGTCCAGAACTTGTAATCGCAAAATTCTACCGCGCACTACTGCCCCTTAACAAAATGGATGTACAATTACATAGCAAAGTCCACTTTTCTGAAGGTATATGTGTCCACTTTTCAAGGCAGATGATAAATCGATATTTGGTTTGTATAATCGTACGTGCTACATTCACAAACTGTAGATCAGAAATATTTATCTCTGAATCTTACATGCGCGTAATGTTTATTTCACTTAAAAGTATCATAACATTAAAGTTATTACACCCTTTTTTTGACAAATGTGCTAATATTTATATTTCAAATAATAATAAACTACATATACATATGAAAGTTGTGTTTCAAGCATTTTATTTTTATTGAATACATTTTTATAGTTTATTTATTGTATTCGTTATTATTTTCTTATTGCAATATTAAAATTTAAAAAGCATAATGACAAAATTAATCTAAACTTTTTTATATATAAATAATTTATTAAGTATATTTAAAATGCAATTATAAATTTGATTGCAACGCAAAATTAGATTAGTGTTTAATAAAATAAGAGAACAATATATTTTGTTAACAATAAAATAAATTAAAAAAAGAATTGATGAGCCAAGCTGATTAATTATATGTACTTGTAATTATAAATTTTTATACACAAAAATTTAAACAATGTCAATTGATAGCATTTTGCGTTTACAGGTTTTGGGTCACCGTCATGTCCTCTTTCAGATTTTTTCTCTGATTCTATGTACTCGCTTTGTGCACATAGAGGCGCCAGTAGACAAGTTCCATTTAAAAACAGCACGTCACATCCATTGACGTTACATCCATTGACTCTAGCCTAGTATTGCGAGTATTGCGTAACGACGCCAACGGGCTGTTACATTTACCGGTTCAGCATGAAGGTAGCTATTCATCCATTGACAGCTGATCCTACGGCAGCCTGGCATGAGTTATCTCAGCATCAGAAAGTTGTAAAAATAAATGCTAAATTGCCGACGACCGAAGCACCGAGCGACAAAGTATGTCCAACGATTTTTGACAATTCCAATCTCTATACGAAGAAATATGTTTGTGTTAACCTCAAAAGTCGTTTCCTTCACTTGTTCTATACATTAAAAGTCGTTCTATACATTAATTGAACATTTGAGAGGAGAAAACGGAATTTAAAGTTTGAATTTCATATTCGATTGTCAATATGAGCTCATTAATCACACAGGATTAATAGTGATTTTCCATTTTTAGTTGCGCGTAGTATGTATGAGTGACACGCACTCGCTGACGCCGTTCATAAAATTTGACGTGCCCGCGGGAGACGTCTTCATTCACGCCGGGGATTTTACGAAATGTGGTAGCTTGCAAGAGGTCATAGAATTCAATAATTGGATAGGTAAACGAAAAATTATCGTGTGTATTGTATACACTATAATGTTTATATGTTGAACAAGAAATATAGATGTTGAAAGACATATCTTAATTCTAGGTAATTTAACACACAAACACAAAATAGTTATAGCTGGGAACCATGAACTTAGTTTTGATCCTACATTCACAAATCCATTTTCCGTGCACACCAGTGGAGATCACCAGAAACATACAGGAACCAGCATACTCGATGATATACCTACCTTGGGTATGTCCAAGGATATTCTCGCGGAAGCTATTAAAACTACTAATGTTAAAGAATATTTGACAAATTGTATATATCTTGAAGATTCTGAGATTATAGTGAATGGGATTAAGATATATGGTACTCCATGGTAAGCATGATTATATCAATTGTATTAAATAATTTGGTTAATAAAAGTGAACATGTTTATATTTAATTGAAGATGAAATGAAATGAAATTGAGAGAGAGAGAGAGAGAGAGAGAGAAACTAGTTTGTAGTTTTACAAGAGCATTTTTATATTTTATGTTTGAATACTTTAAAACTAAATAATGCATAAAATTTATTTGATGTGTTTCTTAAGATTAGTTACCAATCTTTAACCAATTACGATTGTAAAAAAATAAATGCATGTCTTTTTTGAGCACACTATGCGAAATATTTGTAGAAAATAATTTCAGGTATAAGAGATTCTTATTTCTGAGGGACATTTCGTTGAAACTTTAGGCAACCAGAGTTTTGTAAGTGGGCATTTAATGTGCCACGTGGAGAAGCGTGCCTCTCAAAGTGGGAAATGATTCCGTCTGACACAGATATCCTGGTAACACATACTCCTCCTGTAGGTCATGGAGACCTGTGCTGTACTGGTGTACGAGCTGGATGCGTCGAATTATTGTCGACAGTGCAAAATCGCATAAAGCCCAAATACCATGTATTTGGTCATATACACGAAGGTATAATAATAATATAAAATTATATATTTGTATTAGTATGAGAAATATTATATTACCTATTTTATGTATAATTTTACAGGATATGGCATATCTTCAGATGGGAAAATAATATATATTAATGCATCAACATGTGATATAAATTATTTACCAAGTAATCCACCAGTAGTATTTGATATAACACTACCTCCTGGTATAAAAAAATCATAAATCTTCAAATGAGATAACATAAATGAATTTGTTATGCTACTTCAGAAAGATCTTTCTCACGAGCTTAAGAAAAACCATTACGTGATTGACGCATAAAATTAGATAGTAACCTCTTGCCTTAATTTTTAAATCAGGTATGTGTAAGCATTTTTATTGTATAAGTATTAACTAGCATTTCTCTTTCACACGCGATTTGTAATGTCTCGATAATAATAAAAAATATAATCCAATTTGTAATCTCTTTCCTAAATAAAAATAAATTACATTGCCCACATTTCTTTTAAATATAAAAAATTTTCATCATCTATTTTCAATAAGAGATACTCGATATTTCACTATTCTTGTTAAAATGAAAGAACGTGTTATTGAAAATATGAAATTTTAGGGAATTGTATGCTTTATGCAATTATTACCAGTAAAAAATTCACTTATATTTTTTATACATTTATTGTTCCACTCGAATAACAAATGGCACTATTAAGTAAGAAAAAATTTGCAATCGTCACCATGGCCGTGTCAAGCTAAATTTGTATAATTGGTCGAAGGCTGTTTTAGAGAATAAAATCAAAGTTTGTATCTTTATCGAACAAATTATATACTTGATTTTAATAAATTATTGTCCTAAATTATTATGCTTGCATTAAAAACACAATCAGTGCCATTTTCCTATGTACTCGTGTACATCATGATCGCAACGTTGGACACGTTTTAACTAACCTACGAAAATTTAAGTTATTTTTTACATGTATGAAAAATTTATATATATATTGCAGATCTAAAGTTGATTCATTTGATATTTTCCCTAGAAAATTATTACATGACTATTATATGTGCATTGAAGACACATTTTAATCATAGTTTACAAATATTTCAATCCATTAAAAATTACTAATAGTTTATTATAACAGATTGATCTGTCTATCATTTTCTATTAAATTTTGAGACTGATAAAAAGAATAATGTCATAAGTTATATGAGCTCAAATTGCAACTCTCTTTGATTGCAACAAAATTCTTAAGTATTACATCTCTTTTAGTGTTTGAAAAATTCAAAGAACTATTAAGTTAAAAAAAATATCTTACAGATCTAAATCTTTAATCTTCTAAAAGTTCGTTTTTCATACGGATTAACCGGATGTATTTGCTATTAGAAATTCATGAAAAAATAGTATCATTTTAATTTGGAATTATGAGACACACAGAATATAAATCTAACTAGCAGGTAAACGAAGTAGTTTTTAACTAACAATAACAATAAACAAATGTAAAAAGAATATGTTCTTCTTACATAGTTTAAAGTAAATTACGGAAGATTTTCATCTAATATGGTACGTTTGAAAACAGGTACGATACAGATTCACCATTATGTGTCCGCCTCACTGCTTCGGCAAACATCATCGAGACATCAATACACTAAAAGATAAAAGATAATCAGTCCTCTGTATCAGATTAAATCTGTATAACACCATTGTTATCGTTATTGCGATAAGCATTTCATGTCAGTTTCTCTAATGTAAGAAATATATTTACCTGAATCTTTGGGCAATCTTTCATGTGACCATCTTGAGGGATAGTATTGGTCACTACCACAGCTTCGAAGCAAGCATTGTTAATTCTACTAATTGCTGGCCCACTGAAGATGCCATGTGTAAGTATCGCATAAACTTTTGTGGCACCAGCTTCCAACAATTTTTCTGCTGCGTGACAGATGGTACCGCAAGTGTCGGCCATATCGTCTACAAGGATAGCAACTCTGTCTTTAACATCACCAACCAATACCATACTGGCGACTTCATTCGCTTTCTTCCTTTCTTTATGTATGAGCGCAAATTCAACATTTAATCGGTCTGCGATAGATGTGACTCTGTAAAGTAAAAATAAAGTAAAAGACGATCAATGTATTTCTTCGATTGAAATTTCTTTTATTATTATTATTATTATTATTAAATATTTACCTTTTGGCACCACCAGCGTCAGGGGAGACAATGATACTATTTCGCCATTCAACGATATTCTCTTTAATCCATTTGAGGACAGCAGGTTCAGCGAATAAGTTGTCCACTGGAATGTCGAAAAATCCTTGTATTTGACTAGCATGCAAGTCCATTGTGATAATGTGATCAGCACCCGCCACGGAAAGCATATTTGCTACTAGTTTTGCGGAGATTGGCGCACGACTCTGTAAAATACATTTTGATAGATTAGTTTTAAGAATTTGTACGAGTCCTTCAAGTCCATTTGCAACTGGAAATATCCTGTAATTTAAAGAAATTGCTATTAAAAAGTCCCATAAACATGAAAACATTTAAGAAATATGAAAAAAAACCAATTACCTTTTAAACTAAATAAAAATTTTAAAAAATATGTTAATTTATATCGCGGTTGCTTGTATCGGCTTTTGGAAGATACAACATAGTTTATCAAATATCAAAAGATGATTGCCAAAAAAGACTTTTTTCAGAGGGGACAAAATATGAATATAACGATTATGTACTAAAATATTACTCTTCAGTAGGTATAAATATATTCATAAAATACAGGGAAACAACGTTGCAAATGCACCCCAGTTAGACTCTGAACAATTATCATAAATAAAGCAAAATATCTAACATTATGAACGCAAAACAGAACACAATGCATCTCGGTCCTTTACCCTTATGTAGCAAAGGATAATTTGAGGTGAACAAGAGGGCAAACATTAGTAACAGATATGTAAAATCTACATAGGTAAGTTCACAAATGTAAAGATATATTCTAAAAAACAAATATGTCAATATTGCATTTCTAATATCTTATATCTGCAAAATTACATATAAAAAAGAATTTACAGTTTACAAATTAAAATTTATCTGTATTAGTACATTGTCTTTGGTATGGAGAGATGCATTGTGCAAAAATAGATGGAATATTTTTAGTAAAATGTAGTACTTGTGTAATGAGTATATAAGATTTTATAAAAGCTATTAATAATAGTTTTAAAGTATGTACTATCAATTATTGTATCGACAAGACGAGTTATCACCAAGATAACACATTAACATTCCTATGCTTTAAGCATTAATAGGATAGGCAATATTTGATTAGTACACTTGAACAATAACACTGATTTAAGCTTCAATTAGTACCCAATGAAACATATACATATGCATACCCCACTATACTAATGTAATTGCCAACAACGTACTGCTATTATATTAATATTTTGCCCTCTCATTCGGGTATCAATATGCTTTGACCAAATGTCTCATTCATTCATTCACTCATGGGAATACCACTTATGTTTGTATAGCAACGATATTATAAGTTTGGTTAGTCCTACAAAGAAAATTCTTATTTGAATTCAAAAATAATATTACAAATCTCTCGAAATAATTCATCGAGTTATCATTACAAACGCTGCACTCGACAATCTCGTTGCTATTATACTCACTGTAGACAGGTCAGGCGGAATATCCTGAAAATACCCAACTAGTCAGAAACTTAAACAAATATAATAACTTTTTCCTAGCAAATATTTTAGTCAATAATAATTTTTCTGATATCTTTTCATTTTCAATAGATAATCTAAAGATATAAAGGATAAATGATATGACTGATAACTATTTAAGAAGATGATACAGAATTTTTAATCTTATATATTGTTTTCATGCAGTCCCCAATTAATATTAAAAAGCGCTCATTTTTGTTGTACATAAAAATGTAATTTAGTAAATAAATATTAGTAAACTTTTAAAATAAATGCAAAATAACAAAAAATGTAAGAAATATTATTCAGAATATAGTAAGTACATATTTAATGAAAAAATTAATCAAATAAAGTATATTAGAAATTGGTTAATGTAATTATTGCCGTGGTAATAAAAATGTGCAAAAGATCTCCCTTGGAGAAATCTAGCACGAGTTTTGCAACAACTGTTTAGGTTATCTAACTTTTGATAACCCTACATTATTATAAAGAACATGCTTGAAATGCATTTGCAGTGCTTAAAAATTCTAAAATATTTACTATTTGTTTCATTACAAACATCCCAATTACGTAAAGTGATAAAATATAATATATGAAAATAATTTTTATGTGATATTATAATTATCTATAGTCTTATCTATATTTCAAGATAATACGCATGTATTAATACTAAAAGCAATGAGTGTTCAAAATGAAGTTTTAATATGACTAGTGAATAAACCTGATTGAATAACGAAACTTGTAGAGCTTAACTCATGCTTGATTTTTTACAATATTTAAATAGAATAATTCACTTATAATATAAATGATATGATTCATTTATAGTTATGAATTTTACAAGTAAAAAATTACAAGTTTCATTTATAATTCATGCATTGTTTGCATATTAATTATATTATCTCTATATAATTAATAATATATTTCCCTTGTATACTTCAACTATGTGCCAGTTTCACCATTTGCTTCACACAATATGATATTTAAAAAAGATACTTTTTATACATTTCGAATATTTAAGGTTAAATTTTTAAGTCATATATTATTTATATAAAAAGTATCTGTTCCTATTTCATACACACACACACACACACACACGCGCGCGCGCGCGCGCGCACACACACACACAGTCCTTAAATATTTGTCATAAAGTCATAAATGGAAATAACTAGCCAATATAATTTCAGCTAGATACTATTAGAAATTAAAATTCTCATTAATTTTAATTTTGCCTAACAGTAAAAGACATAGGTATCTTCTAAAGAATGTAAAGAAAAGAATTTGCAGTAATCAGCGAATGGTGAAGATCCTGTAATCTAAGTGTATTATCTGATGCAGCCCAGTAACATAAAGCTGACAGAACACAAGCGTATTTCATATGACGATGAGATCAAGTTTTGCGTTCCAGAAATGATATTACTCCATTGGTCTGTTGCAAAGCTATGAAAGAATTAATAAAACATAAAAGGACCGCCGCAAGTTACCCTGAATTTCCACTCGTTCGACTTCATGACAATCTGATTTTTAGAGTCTCCACCATCACCGCCCTGTGAAGATATAGCACATTAAAGAAATATAGAGTTTCTTCAAGATAACGTTTCCTCCGTTATCATGCTTGTTGTTTTAACTATCAAAACTTTAAGATAATAATTAAGAAATAAACATAACATTACAATATAAATAAAGTAGTTGTATCTGTATCTTATATTGTGATAAAAAGTGATTAAATATTTTTAGAAAAAAAATACTCAATTTGTAATTTAACAAAAATTTGCTACTGATGTGAAAGAAGTTTACTTAAATAAGATTTAAAAAAACGTGCTTCTCGATCAAATTAGTAAATTACAACAATTGAAAAGATTTCATCAGATCATATTACATGATGGTATAAAATTCGAATTGTATTAAGTATATATGTCCATGAGACACATCTAAATCCTATTTAAAAAATTGTCATCAGTTTATATATATGTTACTTAATGTTTTTTGAAAGCCATGCCGATGAAGCATTATATAAGAGGAAAGATTAATATTCACAAGTATCTATTTATTCAGAAAAATAAATAGATTGTAATTAATTTTTAAACATACATTAGTAATAATTAAAGAAAAAGAAGACTCATTACAGCTATGATACATATACAATTTACATACATATATACAAATATATATGCTGCAATGATTATCTAGATATATGTCTCAATTATTATACCTTAAACACATTATAGCTATACATCATGAGCAATATATATAAATTTTGAGGTAAACATAAAACAGGACTGCTCTCCAACTATATATAGTGTATATATATTTAGTGTTTAATAAGATGCAAAATATACTTATCATTTTATGAAAAAGTATATAATAAAAATACAATTATAAAAAGTATTTTCAATAAAATTAAAATTTTTATACAAATTTTCTACTATAAGTGTATGTAAATGTATATATAT